GCAAAACCTTGGGCTACATAAACCTCTTTTGTTTATTCAATATATAGCCTCAATTATTCTGTTGTAGCAATGGAAATAATACATAAGGCCTGAGAAGGTGAGGTTAAATCCAGGGAATGGCAGGTTAGTGTGGCATGTTGGAGCATGAGGAAGCAAGGAGGGTCAGGGCGTGTTCAGGGAGGGTCTGGGATGGGGCTTGTGTGAGTTAGAAAGGAGTCTGTGCATGGAGGATCTAGTAAGGACTGTCATAACTCATTTAGGAGAGTGAGAGAGACACAGACAGTGACAGTGACAGTGACAGAGAGACATAGTCTCAGGATTATTTGTATATATATTCTTTAGCTTTGTCCATTCAGAAGACATGGAAGCTATGATGCCCCAATACTCATGAGCACCCCATAGCATCCAGATCTTGAATTCTACCATTTTCCACCAAAAGGAACCAAGGGTCCTGGAAATGAACAATGTGAGTATGGGACTTCCTATGTCATAAAGCAAAGAACTGGTCAAAGAATAGAACACAGAAGTCAGCTTGAAGAAGCTGCATGATCATACCAGGCAATCTGAAAATCAAAATAACTAATATGATAGCAAGTTATGTAGATAACATATGAAGCTAAGAATCCACACAGAAACAAATAAAAAGGTAACTATAAAGCTTGATATTACATAGCTCAAAGTCCCTCTATTCAAAGTATCAATTCATTTCAAAGGCAAGAGTCACTTTAGAGTGGAGAATCCTGGTAGATGCCATCTTCATCAAGTGATCAAAATGAATGCTGTCAGTAATGCGACAAAGCATTACATAGTGTGAACACAGCACTGCTTTTGTGATCTTCCTAAATCTACTAGTGAGAAGACATCAGGCAAGCCCAGACAGAGCGATGCTTTACAAAACAACCAGCCTGTAAACTTGCAAAAGGTCAAGGAAGTGAAGACGAAAGAAAGATGATGGAGTTGCAGGACACCGAACAGAAATGAGCAAACACAGAATTCCAAACTAGATATTCAAGCTTTCCTGACAACCACAAGTAGGGTTGTCAGCGTTTCATCTGTAGTTGCATCACCCAGAGCTCTGTGTTCATGTTTATGTGGCCTTCCACCTGGGTTCATGTGTATCACTGTGTCCCTTCTCCCATTTTCACAAGGACACATATCATAGACTAGGGCCTGCCCTACTGATCTCAACTGGCTCACATCTGTAAAGGTCCTATTTCCACAAGCCACATGCAAAGCTACTGGAGGTTACAATACCAACATCTTTTGAAGACACAATTCAACTCTTAACAGGCTTTAATTTTGGAAAGCTGCTGTACTAAAAATAATGGCTACCCACAAGGAACGTATCATTATGCAGAGCAAACATGGACCAATGAAAATAAAAATTTAATTTAAAACATGACTGATGTCTCTTGAACATTCAGTGTGTTCCAGATACCATTCTAAAGTCATCAGAGTTAACTTGTATAAACCACTCCAGTATCCAAATATCACAGATATATCTGTTCTATAGATGATGGAACCCAGGCGAAAGGCAAAGGAACTTGCCTGTCTGCTTGTGGTGATCAGGTAACAGAAGCAAGATTTAAACTCAAAAGTGTGAATCCCTCACATTTAATAGCTGAAATATAAACAAGTGGGCTGGAAAGAAGAGAAGGCACAGAAAATGAGGTCTGTGGGGCAGATAAAGAGGCCAAACAAGAGTCTATCTAAAAATGATAGAAGAGAAGACACAGGAGTAGAGATAGGATAGAGTAGAATACAGTAGGATAGAGATAGGATACAGTAGGATAGAGTAGAAGACACAGGAAAGGATAGAAGGCAAGATACAGCAGAATGGCAGCAAATGAAAGAATAAAGGGAGATTGCAAAGGATGCAGTGAGGTTCTGTTAGACCAAGAGACACATGTAATCAATCTATCAGTAAATCAGCAAGCATTTACTGAATATTTTTGTATACTCAGAGCTCCCTTGGCTCTGAAGAAATAGACCACAATTTAGGCCCAGGTTACCACCTCTGCAGAGCTCAATAATAGAAAAACTAAGTGGTTTTGGTCTCAATAACCACATTCACGGGTGGCTGAACATTAGACATGGTGCCTCTGGTGATCAGAGAGTCATACTCCAGCTCCAGGGTCTCCTGAAGGATTTAAAGGGCTCATTTCACCACCTTCAGTTCCTGGGTCTCCTTTTTCTGAATGATGCTGTTAAAGAGGCACTTTAGGCAGTCACTGAACACTGGCCCAGAGGGTGACCAAGGTGAATTTGAGGCTATGGAGGTGTGACGGAAGGGAGTGAAGAATAGCAGGGCCAGGTAGATGCTAGGACCCTGGTAGACCAGCAGGCCCAGGGTATGTTGGAAACTGGAGCTCATCTTCACAAAGGAGCAGCTGATGGTGGACTTCAGGGCATGTGGGCAGAGTAGAGCTATGTGGGCCTGATCATTTCAGTACTTCAGCCTGTGGTAAAGTGGAGTCCATGGTCGCCTTTGTTCTTTGCAAGCAATGTTGCTTTTTGGACTAGATTAGAAAACCTGGGTGCTGCTGCAGAAACAGCGAGAGAGAACCACAGCCTCATTCACTGAGAAACTTGGATTGATGCCAGACCTACCACCACGTGTGGCATTCCGGTAGCCTATGATTATTGTATAAGTACTCATTTGTTTATTCAATTCTATAAGTTCTGAGCACTCAGGTCCAGAATTAGGCTAGGAGATAGCCCTTCAGCCTGTATTAAATGTCATGATACCTGCCAAAATTCACAAGATATGATTCCTGCATGTCTTTCCAATCATATTTCATCACATAATTGCACCCTATTAACCCTGAACCAGCAAAAAGAGTCTTTTTTTCCTGATCTATGAATCAAGCAAAGCCATTTCTACCCCAGGCCCTTTGTACTTGCTTTCTTTTTGCATGAAATTCTGTTCCCCCAAGACATCCTCATAGCTATGCCTTCTGAGCATTTAGTCCCAGGCTAAAGGGTGCTTCTTTAGGATGCATTCCCAGATCACCACCCTCTTTCCTACAAAGCACTTTATTCATTTCCCAGGAGATTCCATGCTGTGTGGAGTTACTCTCCACATCCATCTTCTCCATTCACTGGTTTACTTATTTATGTCACGGCTCCACCCATGAAGACATAAACTCCAGGAGAGTAAGACCCTGGCCTGACTTGTTTGCTGCTGTGCCTGCAGTTTCTGGCATGGTGCCGGGCAGTCAGCTATACAATAGGCTTCTAATAAATGATTATGGAATGAATGAATGAACAAATGAATGAATGAATATGAGGGTGAATAAAAGTGTGTGATGCCTGACCCCTAGTGCTGTACACCTCTATATGAAGAGAAGGAGTCAACAAATAAGTATAAACCAGTCATGAGCTCAGCAGGAGAGAAGTTTGGGGAACAGGAAGGGAAAGGGACAGGGGCGCTCATGGCAGGGAACCTCTCAGGTTGAGGGAAGGAGACAGGTTCCTCTGCATGACCTGGATTAATCTGAGGCTGAAGAGGAGTCAGCCAGTGGTGTGGAAGGGCTGGATGGGTATCTTCCCTAACTGAGCAAATGATACAGATGGAAGTATTAAATGCCACAGGATTCAAGTACAGGGTGAGTTTGTGGCTTAGGGTAGCATTTGGTGGCCAGACATCATCACTCATTCCTGTGCTCTTCTTGGAGTTTATGACTGGTTTATACCCAAGAGATAATATCAGGCTCATGTTATGAACTGCATTTTGAACTTCCCTAACAAGCTCTCAAATTCATGCGCCGAAATCCTAATATTCAGAACCTCTGAATGTGACCTTATCGGACACTTTGCTTCTAGCCCATGAGACTCGTTTCTGATTTCTTGTTTCCAGAACTGTATGGCAAAAAATATGTGGTTTATAAAGTCACTAAGTTGGTAGCAACTTGTTATAGCGACAACAGGACACGTATACATCTGGCACACGTCCTCTGCCTCTTTCTCATCCTCTTCTCTGGGCTCTCTCCTATCATGAACTGTACCCTGGAGACCCCTTGGGATCCATCTTATCTCCCTTGGCAGAACGTGTCACCGTTTTTCGTCTCTTCACATAAGATTCTTCTGTGATGCGAGCCCCTCAGGACATCTGCCCTGGACACCTGATCTCCGATAGTCTGACCTGCCTTTCTCTGCTAACCCTGCATTATGGGTTCAGTTGCATCCCCAAGTTCCTGTGGGGGAAATCCTAATTGCCAGTACTTCAGAGAGTGATATTATTTGGAAATGGAGTGTTTAGAGAGGCAATTTAGTAACAGTGAGGTAATCAGGGTGGGCCCTGACTTCAACTGACTGATACCATATAAGAAAGGGACATTTTTCCTGTGCATGCAACAAGAATCATGCAGAGATACAAGGGCAAGATGGCTCTGGGAAAGCCAAACAGAGCTGTCTGAACCAGACTCTTCCCTCCTGACCCTCCCAAGGAACCAGCCCTGCCCACCCCACATCTTGAAATTTTAGCCTCCAAAACTTGGAGACAACACATTCTTGTGTTTCACGGTTCCTTGCCCATGGGACTTTGCTACCACATCTTTAGCAAAGTAGCCCAGGTGGCCCTGCAACTCTTCGGAGACCTGTTCATTCCTCAGTATTTCTCACTACCCCTGCCCACTATGGAGGCGCAAGTTGAAATGGGAAGAAACTGCATTTCTCGGGGGCCGGGGTGGCGGGGCATGGATTCCCACAGCCCTGGCTTCCCACGCACCTGACCATGTTCTTTATCTCACTGAGGATCTTCTCCTTATTTATACAGACATTCTTCTTGGACAGTTCCGGGAGATGGGTCACAGCTCTTCTGGGTAGCTGTCAGAGATTTTAAAATGCTATATGTGTCAATCTCTTTCTGAATGTCATCTGAAGTAGAGTCAAATAAAGAAAGACAATGTACCACAAGTTTGAATAATCAGTCCACCGATTTCGCCTAGCTAGGGGGTTTGCAAACTATCACTGTGGATGAAATCCAGCTAGTCCACTACTTGAGTTTTTAAATTTCTGTTTAAATTTTTATTAGTACATGGCTGCATGCATAATGATTGAATTTATTATGGGGTATTGATACATGTACACCACACATCTTAATTCTTCTTGGTCCGCTATCCTCATCCCACTTCTTCTGTCTCTCAGTTCCCTTCCCATTTACAAAAGCTCTATCTCCATTTTTTCCAATTCTTTTTTTTTACCCCCTTTATCTTTTCTCCCTCCTTTCTCCCTCCATCTCTTATTCCCTTTCCCATTTGAAAAAGACCTCTCTACTTCCTATTATCTATTGCTCTTTACTTATATTTTGGATTTCTTGTATAAGACAAATCATGCAATATTTCAGCTTTATGTTTGATTTGTTTCATTTAATACTATGATCTCAAGATATGTGTTTACCTATGAACATAAGTAAAGATTTATTGGCACATTACATTATAAATTTGTCTATATGATTTATTATCTATACCCGCTACCTACAGAATGTTCCACTGAGGAAAGAATCTGTCTTTTTTTTTAACTACAGTATCATACATTGCCTGAAACAATGGCTGAGGCACTGTAGGTGACAAATGAATGTTTGTTAAATGAAGGAAGAAGACAGACACATTTGAACTCCTGATAGGACTCATTCAAGAAGCAGAGAAGAGGCTCTGAGAGTCCAAAGTGGAAAGTTTGGTCAATGCCCACAGGTCCACTCATCCTGAATGCCGGACCTTTAAGGCAGCTATTCACCTGTGACCAGAGGATGGAGGCAGAAAGGGTTGGATATTCAGTGGGAACAAGAATGTCCTGCTGAGAGGAAGCAACATCCAAAGACTGAATCAAAAAACACGGAGATCTCCAGGAGACCACAGAGCAGACAGGACAAAGGTTCCTGCTCACACACTCTTGACCTTCAGGTGTTGAAGGATAGGCCAAATGTCCCTTAGCTATAACTCATCCCCATGCAGCATGGCCTGGTGGTGGCTTCTCATCCCACTTCTTCCCATACATCTACCTCCACAGTTGTCTTTGTTGAACAGGGGGAAATGCATCACAACAGGTCTGTTTTCCTCTTTCAGGATGTAGCAGCTGCAGCATATCCTGTTCCACCAGGGGAAAAGGGATCTCATGGTCCTGGCAATACTTAGCAGTGGACCTAATGGTCTAAGAAGAGGACAACAGAGATCTGTTTCCAGGACTGTCCAGAAGGTCCATGGGGTCTGGAGACTACCAGGACCTCAGCAAAGAGCCCAGCATATGGTCTGCCCTGTGGAGCTGGAACTTGCCAATCAATGTAATCCCCTGGGTCAAATTCTTAAAATAAATATAGATGGATGAATATAGATACAGATAGGTAAATAGATATATAGGGAGATAAAGTTACAGACAGATACATAAACAGACATAGATATATAATTATGGGGTATTGGTTCTAGGACCTGCATCCTCTAGCACACCAAAATCCAATGTTGCCCAAATTCCTTATGTAAAATGGGATAGTATTCACACACAACCCATGTGCATCCTCCTGTATACTTTAAATCATCTTTAGATGCCCTGAGATACCTAAGGCAATATCAGTAGTTGTTATAGTATATTGCTTAGGAAATATGACAAGAAAATGTCTGTGTATGTTGAATACAGACACATGTACTTAAATAGTTTTGATCCACAGTTGGTTGAATGTGCAAATGTAGAACTTACATAGGTACAGGGCTGATAGTATAGATATAGGCAAACCCAAATTGTTCTATTCTTTGAAGAACACTGATCAACACATCTGGCAAACAATAGTCATTTAAAACCTATGCTCTGCTATGGTATTTTAGCAGTCCACACATCCCAGGACCTCTCTGCATGGCTCTTTAATATTTAATGTCACCTCACTTTACATGTCAGCCTGGCCTAACATCCCTTTCTGCCCTAATGAAGATGTCAATGGTTAAGGTAAGTGAACAGAGCCTAGGACAGAAGTTTGCAGCAGTGTATGCCTAGAAAGCCAGATTATTTTTTTCCTGCAAGAAGAGAATGGTATCCTTCCTTGCTTCCCAGGCTTGCTTCAGAACACTTTATAAATATTCTCTCTTTTAAAGAGAAATAAAGAGATGGAAGATGATGAAGTCGCCAAAATATCTTCAGAGCTGTGAATCCAGAACCAAGACAGGTAACAAAATGTTGCATGTAACATAATGATTTGCTCTAACTTAAATACACAATGCTTAGCCACACAAATATATCTATGCACATCATTTTATAACATGGTACATTAAAAATATGTGCTCCTCTTTGAGCTCAAAGTGAGGGCATTATGGAAAATGTATGTAAGAGAGGCTGGAGGCAGTAGCACACATTTGTAATCTTAATCCTTGGAAAGCTGAGGCAGGAGGATCATCATGAGTTCAAGGCCAGCCTGGGATACATAGTGAGTTCAAGTTCAGCCTGAACTACATAGTGAAACCCTGGCTCAAAAAAGCACACTAGAGTGTGGTAACCACCATCGTTTTCCACGGACCACTCAAGGAAGGTAAAAGGGCATATCTCATCTCTGAGATACAGCCAGGAGCCAACGTTGGCTTTCCAAGGCCTTCATTGGGCAAGCTCATTGTCATTTTTCTGCTGCCTCCCAGCCATCACTTTTGTAAGGACATCTTCTTCTTTAACCCCATCTAATGGGAACCTAGCCAAGAACTATCCAAAGACATCAAGGCAGTGGCAGCCTTGCTATTAAAATTGTAGATCAGGGAAATGAGCAGACTGATTTCATTCAACAATGATTAAGAATTTTTAAGATGGAAAAAGAGGAAGGCAGCAAAAGAAAAACTAGAGAAGGGCTGACAGTGAGATTTGTTTTCCTTTCCTTTCTTTCCTTGGTGAGCTGAAGATTTGCTGATAAGAAGGGCAATCGGTGTCTGCCTGGATGCTGGATGAGTCCTAAAAAAAGACAGCCTTTGGGGAACATGATGGGGAAAGATCTAGGGTTGGTGCTTCAGGATGGGACAGGCTGCCCCTGGATCTTTTCAGGCTTCAGTGAGCAGTCTTGTCTCTTCTGCAGCTCACTGAAAATTTCCTACCAAGAACCTGTTCTCTTCCTTTTTCCTGATGGACTTTAACTCCATCAGAGATGGTCTCATTTGATGCTTTCAAGGCACCAAGGATGGCTTGTCTACCCTCCACCTGGCAGACAAGTCGTCTGTCCATTCCAATCTGTAAACACTGGGCCTGTATTAACAAATCAGGATGTTCTTGGTGGAAGAATGGCACTGGAACATCTGGTCACCCCCTCCATCCTCTCCTAGAGAGGTGGACAAGTAAGAAGAGGGCGCAGGTTGATAGAGTTGGCACTTACCAAAGATCATATCTGTTAAAGAGAATCTGAAGTATGTACATAAAGTCGGAATCCTCTTTTGGTTTCATGAAGCACTGTATCAGTCGTTTCAGGTATTTTCCCTTCTCTTCTGTGAAGATCTTGTCCCAGTTCTCAACCATCTCAGACAGCAATCTGTGTTTAGTCTCACCAGCTTCCTCTGCCTGAAGGAACCCAGGTGGTTGCCCTTTCAGACTGGGTGCATACACAGTACATGCCAGCAGCCAGGGCACACCTCAATCTGTTTCTCCTCCTGCAGTGCCCCAGCAGCTCCTCCTCCTGCTTGCTGCCAGTCTCTACCCCAGGCAGAACTCTCCTCCCTCACCTACTGGTGACTTCAACATTGCCTTATTTTCTCCTACTTTCCCATCTCCTATTTTGCCTCTCTTTTGTCTGTTCTTTTTTATGCCTGTATTCAGATTTGGTTCTAAGTCCTCTCCACCTCAACTCTTACCCACATCCACTAATTAAATGATGCTCAACCCTCACTTTCTCATCCAGATGTTAATTCTGTGTACCTATGAGCACTTAGCACATGCCAGGCCCACCTCTAAGCACTTCACATGAATTCTATCCTTCAACCTTCACTACATCAAGAGGAATGCAGGATTATCTCCATTACACACAATAGAAATGCGAAGGAACAGAGAGGTCACACAGCCAGGCAGAGGTGGGGCTGCGATGTAACCCTGTGCTCTTCTCCACTACTTTCTCTTTTATGGTTATCCTATAGCAACCAGCAATTGGAAGGTCTAATCCTGTCCTTCATGTGTTCAGCTCATGCCACATCCTAAAGCCAACATGGATTAGTTAACACTTGATCTTAGACAAAAGGCCAAGAAACGATTCAGATGATTTAGCAAAGGAAGTTTTCTCTGGTGCTTACTGATCATGGATTTTCTGGCTTTTAGCCATATGGGATTGTTGTAATATACACTGGAGTCAGAGTGCTTGGGTCTGGATGCCAGCATGGCTATTCAGAACCTATGGCACCTTGGATGTGTTACTCAATCTCTCCCTCAGTTGCATCACTTGAAAACTGTGAATACCAGGATTGTCTATTTCACAGGGTTGTTGTGAACACCAAACTTAGGGATATGCAAGTGGCACAATGGAAAAGCCTGGCATAATAGTGGGACGCTCATCAGCTTCCTTTGACACACTGATATTTCCCACCTGCCCACTGGTGTCCTGACAGTTTCCTGCGAGAGACTGTGAGGATGAAGGAAAAGACAAAGCAAGTTTTCACCTCCTACTCACCTGCCTGCCTGTGTCTCAGGCCCCTCTCTCTCATGTCCCCCACCCCACTCTCTCTGCCATCCACATAGCAGTTTGGGAGCAGCTTCTTGTGCACAGACCTCCCCCTTCAGCCTCCAGATCTTGCTGTACGCCCTGGAGCTTCTTCAGGATGCTGGGGGCATCTGGATCTTCTACATAAACCATCACCAAATCCAGCAGGTCTTCTTCAATGACCCCTGCTCAGAGACAAATGATGCCCATGAGAATGCATGGATACCGTGACTACCCTCCCCACCAAAACCCCTTGTAATTCTCTCTGTTCACATAATAAGCAACTTCTGGACTTTCCTGGTAAAATCTCTCACCTGCAATTCATGGAGTAGCTCCAGTGTGTGGGGAATGGCCAAGAATGACCTCCCTCTTGGGCACACCTTAGCTAGTGAGTGGGGCTTGGAAGCCCAACTCCTTTGCTCCAAATGAGGCAGAGTCTCAGGGCCACACTCATGTCCCAGGGCCTCTTCAGTAGCAGGCTGGGCCCACATCCTGCCAAGTTTCTACCCCTTTCCTTCCTTCCAGTTTTGCTTCTGAAGAGACGAACCTGAAATCCTAATCTCCAGTGGGATGCACTAAGAAGTGGCGGCTTTGGGTGGCACTATGTCGTGCGGTTGAAGCTCACACGAAAGGGATGAGTGTCCTTTAAAAGGAACTCGAGAGCTCTCTTAGCATGCTGGCTTGTAAGGATATAAGGAATTGGCAGTCTGTCCCAGGAAGAGGGTTCTTCCCAGAGCTTGCCTCTACCAGAATCTATATCCTAGCCTAGAGTTACAGCCTCCAGAAAATATAAATTTCCATTGTTTTTACATCACCCAAATTATTGGCCTTCATTATCACAGGCTTACTTACTGAGGGAGGGCCCTGACTGCTGGCCTGTGAGGAGGCAACCCTGCTCTGTGCTCACCAGGATTGCTTTTTCCTGTACAGACAGGGTGACTTTTGCCAGCCTCCCCTGTGAGTAGTGAGGGCTTTGTACTGATTCTGGCTCACAGGAAGTGACTAGAAATGATACATGTTATGTCCAGGCATGGCCATAAAAGCCCTTCATGACCCTTCAGCTCTCATGGAACACAGAGACTCTGGAGTAACAAGATACATGCAGCTCAACCCCTGAGTTGCCACCTGAGAGACTGGCTCAGACTGGTCACCCAACCCATATTATTTTTTTCATGAGCCAAGTATACATTCTTTGCAACTTAAGTCAAAGCATCTGGGGGCCAGATGTGGTGGTGCATGTCTGTAATCCCTAAACTTAGGTAGCTGAGGCAGGAGTTCCAGGCCAGCTTGAGTTACACAGTGAGTTCAAAGCCAGCCTGAACTGCATAGTGAGATCCTGTCTCAAACAAACAAACAAACAGCACTCTGGGGATTCTTGCTTTATACAATACAGCTTTTCTTGCCCTGACTCCTGTGTCCCAGACTCTCCACTCTCCATCAATTTTTTGCCTTGCTTTCCTTCTGTTTCACGCTTTTTAGGACTCCTAGTCCATTAGAGTCTTGAAAAATACTTTTCTTCTAGATTTTCTCATTGTTTCAAGCTGTGCCCACTTTCTGATCATTTGGATCCCAGATGCACTAGGGTACATGGGCAACTCTGCACATGGGTGCTAGGGACACAGTGTGTTAGCTTTGAACCCCAATTCTGCCACCTCCTGGATGGATGTAGATCCTTGGACACATTCCCTAAAGATATATGCCTCTTGATTTCTACCTTAGTCTGTTTGGGATGTTATAACAGGTTAAGTAATTTGTAAAGAAAAGACATGTACTTCTCACCGTTTGGAGGTTGATAAGTACAACTTCAAGATGCTGATACCTTGCAAGAGCTTTCTTGTGCATCATCCCGTGGGAGAAGGTTAAAAGGAGAAGGGCAGCAGAGCGTGAGAGCAAGCAAGCAAGAGTGGATTAGATTTGCTCTTACAACAAACCTGCTTTTGCAATAATTAACTCACCTCTGTGATATCAACTACCTAAACCATTCATGAGTGAAGAGCCTGGGAATCTTATCACCCTGTTAGGACTTGCCTTCCACCACTGTTGCATAGAAGACTGAGATTCCAACCCAGGACCTCTGGGTGACACATTCACAGCCATTCCTACCTGAGCGGTGGAGGCAGTAATAGCACTTCCTTGGGTAATTGACCACAAATGCTCATCGGATGTGACATTCCAAGGCCAGTGGCTGGCCTACATAATCACAAGTGACTCCCACCAATTGTGACTTGCTTACCTCTCAGGGCCAAATGAATTTTTTTCACTTTTTCTCTCTGGTTCAATAACTCATCTGCAAGAAAGCCCAAGACAATGTCTCTCTGCAAAATATAATCACTAGCTCTGTAGCTAAGTTTTTCTCAGGCAAAACTCAGGCAATCATAGCACTTACCTTTCAGAGTTATTATAATGATTATGGAACAGGACAGATAATGACTACTACTCCTTAATGCTTTTATCTATATCCTTTAGAGTGATTAACTCACTGAATTTTCATAAGTACTATGATTATTAGCCCATGTTTCAGATGCAGAAACTGAAACACAGAGAGGTGAAGTAACTCTCCAGAGGTCTCAAAGCACACATGTGTCAGAATACACCTCCCATGGGGCCTCTCACTTCTGGCCACTCTGTAGTTATACTGGCTGCCCCAGTGAAACCTTAAGAGATGATGACAGATTTAGAAAATGCAATTGCTAAACATGACATACAGATCTCTTTTCTTCCCTGCATAAGAAAAATATGATAAACTCCCTGCACAAAACATCATTCGGCTTTAGCTCTTCTATTCTCCAAATACTCACCCAAAAGAAAGCTTTTAATTTCTTCAAGGCTAGCCAGAGTACTTCCCCATAATCATGCAGAGAAAATGGAAATAAAACTAAAACTCTGTCATGTGGCTGATATGGTTGGCTATACAAAGCACCCAGAGGCTTGCATAAGGTGCTGTTTATATCTTCACTGGGGAGGAAAATGCTTCTTCAGTTCAGTAGATATTCATGAGGTAATCGTGGGGCACCAAGAGCTCTTCTAGAAGGGAGCAGTGAACAAGCCAGACAAAGTGCCTGTTCTCATGACTGCTCTATTCCATGGAAAGAGCCAGCTCACTGCTAGGGATGAAGTCATCTCAAGCACAGTGCTTATCACCACTTCTCCCAATGTCTCCTTGCATCCCTTGCAGCTAAGTAGAGGTCAAGCTCTGGTCAGTGCAGAACACAGTAGGGATTTCTGGAAAGTGCTTGCCATTAACTAAAAAGGAGCACACTGATCTGATGCAACAGCCATGCTGTGATGCAGAAGAGTTTAGCACAGAGGTGAACATTAGTACTGAGTCCTTATGCTGAATGTGGCACAGCTAACCCAATGTTATCAGCTGTCTACGTGTGATTTGTTTTGTTTTGTTTTAAGGAAAGTAATATGGTGGTCTTGGAAAAAATTAACATAATCACTACATGATCCAACAATTCTACTTCTATGTGGACCCAAAAGACCCAATTTGTTTTGTTTCAATCAGACAATTAAACCCACAAGTCTTTAGGTCACTGTGTTTGGTAATGACCTCAACCAAACACATTAGTGTTTGATACAGGGAGCCATAATGAACAAGTTGTCAAAATGCACATAGAGATTGACAGTAGGATGCTATGATTTTAAAAATTTAAACCATGACACATACAGTGTTGGTAAGGATATAGAGGAATTGGAAATTTTGCATGCTGTTGGTGAGAATATAAAATGATGTAGCCATTATGGAAATTACTATGGTGGTCTTGGAAAAAATTAACATAATCACTATATGATCCAACAATTCTACTTCTGTGTGAACCCAAAAGAACTGAGAGCAGGCCTCAGACATTTATATACTTATATTCATGGCAACGTTCTCCCATTGTTTACAGGTGGCAGTGACTCAGATGTTCATCCACAAAAGAATAGATAAATGAAAAGTGTGATCTACATACAAATGGATATTATTTAGCCTTTAAAAAGAAAGAAAATTCTGTGCTATACAATACAGATTAACCTTGAAATGTGATGCATAATGAAATAAGCCAATCGCAAAAAGACAAATCTTGTATGATTGCATTTACATCTGATACTTTCTGGAGTCAGAAAGTAGGAACTTGAGAACCAGATGTGGGGTGCATGCTTGTAACTCTAGCACTCTGGAAAGCTGAAGCCCCAGGACGATTACAAGTTTGAGCCCAGCCTGTGAAATCCAGCACTTTAGTGACACCCTGCCTCAAAATTTAAAAAAGGGTTGGGGATGTAGCTCAGTGCAAAGCCCCTAGGTTCAACCTCTAGTGGTAGGAGGAAAAAGAATGGAGGAGAAAGATCTTGACCTAGGTGTGATAGTGCATTTCTGTAGTCTCAGCAATTTAGGAGGCTGAGTGGCAAGGATCACTGAGCACATAAGTTTGAGACCAGCCTGGGCAGCATAGCCAGACTATGTCTCAAAAAACAAAGCAAAACAAAGACAAAAACAGAAAAAAAGTAAGAACTCAGAACCTAGTGAGCAAGCTGAAAAACTAACAATCCTGGTGACAAGTGACAGTAGCATGGGGTTGGCGGTGGATATGGATGGATACGGACGGACTATGGAAACATGGAGATGGGATGAAAAGGAGTCACATCCCACATGGATTTGCCACACAAGGGAAAAGGGAAGATCAGAGGTGACTATCTAAGGACCTGGCTCTGGTGACTATGTATATGGAGAAGCTATTTCCAGGGGAGTAGAATGAAGTAGGAAGACAAGAGTCTTCCTACTATTTCTGTCTGGGCACTGTCACCTGGGACTCATGGTGCATTTCAAACTGATTTGCTGATTAACTGGTTATCCATATATCCTCAAGTTCATACCATTGCGAGGTTCTGTGCTCTGTGCATGCGTGTGTGTGTGTGTGTGTGTGTGTGTGTGTGTGTGTGTGAGTGAGTGTAAGTTATCCACATCTGAATGTGTTTGTGGGAAGCTGCAACCCTAACACTGAGCCTTCTAAGAAACCATGTCTTCCAGGTCATTCAATAAGGCACCTGGCATCTGTCATATTAAGGAGACCAGAGAGAAACTGAAGACTCCAAAGGAAGGACACATCTCTGAATACACCTGCAGAAATGCAGGAGGTAGATGGAGCCAGACCCTCATGAGGGGTGCTTTTGCATCTCCACCTCTCACCCCATTTAATTGCATCTGCCTGACCCCATACTACCTTTCAGGAAGGACAAGTCTTGCTCGGGCTCAGGTTTGACCAGGCTTCCCTCCTGAAATTTGCTTCCAAAGTAGATTACAGGAATGTAGGCCCCAAATTTTGGGTAGCCAGCATGGTGAGGGGTAAACTCAAACCAGATGTCTGGGGAGACAGTACAAAGGGTGAGACAGAGCACACAGCTTGCAAAGCATCAGGTCCTGGGGTGGGGATGGGGAGAATCTATGCCCAGGCAGGGGATACACCTATATAATCCCAGCACTTGCATAAATGAGCTCAAAGTCAGCCTGCATTACATAGAAAGACCCTGTCTCAGAAAAAAAAATAGAATCTATGAAATGAAAAATGACAACCAAGACATTGGTATACTAGAGACAGACTGTGTGTTCTCAGAAACCACTTGGGGATTTCATCTCAGATCTTTGAAATCATTATTTAGCTACAAGCAGTACTAGTTCCAAAATATTCTGTTTCCAATATTTCTCCAAACTTGAGCCCTCATTCTGTCTTTCTCCTCCATCTCATTGAAGATGCAACTTCACAGGGTGTGGGAGTACAAAAGAGTCCAGACACAAAACAGCACAGAAATCTCTCTGGAGCCAAGGAATATTTCAAGGCAGGAAATTTTTTGTTCTGGAAACTTTGATCAAACAGTTGTGGAGCTGGGGATTTAGCTCAGCGGCGTAAGCTCCTGCCTTGCAAGCAGGCAGTCAATGAGTTCGATCTCCGGCACCGATAAGAAAGAAAGAAAGAAAGAAAGAAAGAAAGAAAGAAAGAAAGAAAGAAAGAAAGAAAGAAAGAAAGAAAAAACAGTTGTGGAAAGAGGTGACAGCTTGGTATAAGAAGACCAGTGGGGAACTAATTATAAGAATTATTAAATCTGGGCATGATGGCACATGCCTCTAATCAAAGTGCTCTGGGAGACTAAGGCAAAGGATTGCAAGTTCAAGGTCAGGCGCGCGCACACACACACACACACACACACACACACACAGAACCCTCTGAAGACACTATGACACACACACACACACACACACACACAGAACCCTCTGAAGACACTATGACACACACACACACACACACACACACACACACACACACACACACAGAACCCTCTGAAGACACTATGATACCCACTCACTATGATACTCACTCCAGGATAAACTTGGATTATGGGATCACAGATTATGAGAAGAGATGACTTAGAAGTCTTGGGTAAGAGGATGGAATCATGAGGGTTGTGGAAAGAAGTATTTCATTTCCATACACTCTGGTGGAAAAATATCACAAGGGTCCAAATGAGAAAGACATATTCATTCTGGGGACTTCTGAGCACAAATTACCAAAACACATCTGAGCACCTGTACCATGCCTCATTGATAGTGAGAAATCAGGACATATTTGTTGAACAAATGAAAGCATTTCACGCTTAGAAAAATGAGTCTGAATGTCTTAATCTCAGGAAAGAGACTGGGGATCAAAAGACCAAGTGAAGTGTCAAAATGTGAATGCAGAAGGAAGACTACTAAAAAAGAAGGGAGTCAATGAGAGGTGTGGAGGATATGACCCAAGAGTGCTGTGTGCATGCATTACAATTTCACAGTTAAACTCATTATTCTAGGTAATTAAGATAAACCAATTTAAAAACAAAAATTGCAATATACTGTAATAAAGTTTCCAGTACAATTAAAAAAAAAATCTAGGATGTCTGGAAAGCCATCAGCACTTAAGTGGTAATTAGAATCAGAGAGGAAGATGAGGAGTAAAAAGTGAGGAACACTGCTCCCCTCTCTGCCTCAGTGCTTGAAATATTTTCATTACAACTTTTTTTGGTCTTTTTCATTTTTATCGGTACCGGGGATCGAACTCACGACCACCTGCTTGCAAGGCAGGTACTTATGCCGCTGAGCTAAATCCCCAGCCCCCATTACAACTTTTTTGATCTACGCAAAGATAGTGTGTGCTGATGATTGCTGGGAGGTTCCTTCATGCTTCCACGGGCTGAGCGTCCTATCCTGGCAATCTTCTTCTAGAATTTTTCTTACTTCCTGGTGTCTCCAAGGCAACAGCCTCACATTTCACTCAGTGCCTTTCAATGTCTTCCTGCCAGTCCCACCCTCCAAATGCTTACCCTGGGCTTTTATTCCCCTCTGGTGCAGGTCACTATCAATAGCTGCAAATATTGGGTAAGGGAGTGTCCCTTCCTCCACGTACTTCGTCATGCTGGACAAGGAAGAGTCATGCAGCTTTGGAGAGAAAGTACAATGAATGGTTTTCAAAACAAGTGTCTTATGTGTCCCTTTCCTCAGTCTCCTGGGAAGCATCAACTCATCCTTACCATGTATTTTGTCTCTCCCTTGTACCTTATGTGTGGCTTAAGTGCAGGCTCTGGACCTTGTCTGCTCTGCTTGTTCTCCTGTATCTACCATGTTCTCACTGGGTTGTTATGGGCAATTTCTCTCACCCCTTCCTTCCTCAATCCTTCCCTCTGGATAGAGTGGAGTATCAGATGATACTGTCATTCATATGTTTTACTGCTGAGAAAACTGCTCATTAGAAAAGTAAAGGGATCCCCAAGGTTACCAGCTAAAATGGTAGCGCTGTGACCCAAACTCAGGATTATCTGCTGCAAAGGTTAGGGGTTTGACCATTTTTCAACAGGTGAACAATATTGTTACAAGGCATTGTTGTCTTGGAGCTCGCCCCAAATCTGCCTTGGTGTAAAAGCAAGGTTTATTTCTAGTTATTGGAAACATATATTGTGATAAATAAAGCCTTGCTTGAAATCATCTGGATCATTATGTACTACATCAGAAGAAATGCAACTGGGGAAGAAGGAATCTACCCAGTGGGTGAACCCTGAATGAGTCCTCCAAATATTTCCTGTGTTCCATAAATCTGTGTGGTCAACAGCCACTAACAGAAGATGAACACAGGGCTTGTGCCTGCAATTTCTAAAAAACAAACCAGGTTAACAACATCCTACTTGTTAACATATTTCAAAGCATACAACACCATACTGCTAACTCTAAGGATACTGTGGAGTAGGTTTCTGGAACCTATGTATCAGAAAATTTATATATTAAGTGAAATAAGCAGATACAGAACTTAAAGGGATAGATCTTAGTTAAGTGCTCGTACCACTTACTTACCTATCCACACACACACATGCACATACATTCAAACATAAAAGAGGAGAGAAAGGCAGAGATACAGAGAAATATAGAGAGAATTTTACACCTCCATGTTCATATCACCCACAGGTACCTGGTCCACACTGTCATTTCTAAACACCTATTCCCCTAGGCCATACAGTCTGATACAAACCCTGTCATCAATCATTTCACTTTCCTTCTCCTCCCCTATCCCAAACCCATAGTTTTCTATGACCTGCTGCTCCTCTTTCTATGAAAAGGACAAATGCTTAGCCCAACCCAAAAGTTAAAGATAGGAGGAATCCACTGGGAGAAGAATGTATTTCAGGTTTCCGCCTCATAATCATCCTAACCCTTCCCTGTGACAGCTGCAGGGCAGCCCATGACATACTCACCTTGAGGGTCACATATGCTTGGACCCACGTAGCCTCCGACCTTCCAAGTGATGCCTTCAGGTACTTTGGGGTTGGATCCCAGGGTCAGTTGATCAAAGGCTTTGAGGGTGAAGATAAGAATGCTTTGGGTCTGAGGAAAGCATTTTCCAGTAAGCACCTGAAGAAACAAAAGCATACAGTCTTCCCAAAGTAAGAAGAATGAAAGGCAAGTACAGAGAGGAGCATTGTGGCCCACAGATGTGATCCTAATCTTTGCTGAGGCAGAAGGATAGCAAGTTTGAGACAAGCCTGGACCATACAGCAACTCTGTATCAAAAAATAAAAGAGGAGAAAGGAAAAAGGAAAAGAGGAGAAAACAAAAAGAAAAAGAAAGGGAGGGGAAAAAAGGGGAAGGAAAGGAAAGAAAAAAGAACTGCATACAGTGACACACATTGCTGTAATAGCACTGGAAGGCCAAAGCAGGAAAATCACTGCAAAGATTGAGATGAACCTGGGCTATATAGTGAGTTCAAGGCCAGCCTGAACCAATGATATTCTGTCTCAAAAAAGAAAAGAAAGGCAGAGGAGGGGCTGGGTGGATCTGGAGCGCCTGCATCAGCCTCCCCATGTGTCTGGAGGACTTATGGATATCTCAGCAAGCAGGGGAGGATCGCAGGTTCCAGAGGCACCACGGCCAGTGGTGAGTGCTCAGCGCACTCTGCCCAAATCCCAGACTGTTTGGGACCCTCCAGGCTTCCGGGTGCAGTGAAGTGGAGAAGTGGGTTTGAGGCCTCTACATCCACCTCCCCAACCCGGCTGCACTTGGAGAACTGTGGAGCTTCCAACAAGTAGGCGGGCACACGCTATCCCCTGAGCCCAGCCTGATTGGGACTCCCGCACCTCACCATCGGTGTGCAGAGGAGGGGCTGGGCGGATCTGGAGTGCCTGCATCAGCCTCCCCGTGGGCCTGGAGTACTGTGGATGTCTCCGCAAGCAGGGGAGGATCGCAGGTTCCAGAGGCACCACGGCCAGTGGTGAGAGCTCAGCACACTCTGCCCAAAGCCCAGACTGTTTGAGACCCTCCAGGCTTCCAGGTGCAGTGAAGTGGAGAGGAGGGTTTGAGGTGGCTACATCCACCTCCGCATCCCAGCTGCACTTGAGAGCTGTGGAGCTTCCAAAGAGCAAGTGGGCACACAGTGTCCCTGAGGCCCAGCTTATCAAACTGAAGAGAGTTCTGAACAGGCAGAGGAGGGCCATTGGTTCTGCAGGCCCAGAGGCTTGGGGTAAGGGGGTGCCAGAGTCTCAGGAGCTGCAACCGTAGAAGGGGATTTCCAACAGACCCTGAGGAAGCTTTCAAATAACACTTGAAACACAGGAATACAGGAAAATGACAAAACGAAAGACCAAATTACAACCTCAAAAGTCCAGCCCATCTCAAGAAACCCTAGGAGCAATGTACACAGAAGAAAATATATGCCATTCACCTCAAATATCGGACACAATAGCTACTGAAATTAACAAGCAACTCCAGGAAGCTTTAAAGAAATTCAAACTCGAAATAATCTCCCAGGTAAAAGATGAAATGATAAAAGAAATGAAAGAGATTCTAAATATATCTAAAGAAAACACAGATAAAAAATTGGAGGAACTAAACAAAAAGATAGAATCCCTAGACGAGCAATATAAGAAACAAACAGAATACATAATGCAGATGCACAGAGATATACAGGAAATAAAAAACTCCACTGAAAGTTGTAAAAACCGCCTTAATGAAAGTGAAGATAGAATTTCAGACCTTGAAGACAGGATTGCAGCTAGTGAACAGGAAAGGAAAGATCTTTTGAAAATAACAAGGAATCAGGAAACAACAATTCAACAACTGCAAGATCATGCAAAGAGAAATAACATAAGAATGATAGGGATTAATGAAAAAGAAGGAGACAACATAAAGGATGTCAAGAGGATATTTAGAGAAGTAATAGCTGAAAATTTCCCAAGCATGAGATCAGAAACTGACATCAGGATCAGTGAAGCACATAGACTCCAAATAGTCATAACCAAAATAAAACTACACCCAGACATATAATAATCACCATCCCAGAAATCCAACACAAGAATAGATTATCAAAAGCTGTCAGAGAGAAAAGACAGATCAGTTATAAAGGAAAACCTATCAGAATCACAGCAGACTTCTCAGCACAAACGATAAAGTCAAGAAGAGCATGGAGTGAAGTATTCCAGATCCTAATGCAAAATGATTTCCAACCTAGACTGATGTATCCTGCAAAACTATCATTCAAAATTGATGGGGAAATACAATACTTCCATGACAAAGAACAGCTGAAGAACTTCAGGAACACCAAACCAACCCTGCAAAAAATATTGAAAGACAGTTTAGATACACAAAGGAATAAACCACTAAGCAAAGCAAATAATTAAACAGAACAGAAAGCTAAAGATGCAACAGCAGAGAGATAACATTCCTACAATTAACCAGCATTTAACAGTAATAACCATTAATGTAAATGGTCTCAATGCACCAATCAAAAGAAACAGACTAGCAGAATGGATCAAGAAACAAAATCCAACCATATGCGGTTTACAGCAAACCCATCTAACCCAGAAGGATACTCACAGACTGAAAGTCAAAGGATGGAAAACAATTCTTCATGCAGTAGGAATCCAAAAAAAGGCAGGAGTAGCCATTCTGTTTGCAGACAACGTGAACTTTAAACCAACAATGACCATAAAGGACAAAGAAGGTCACTACATAATCATAAGGGGAAAACTCGAAAAGGAAGAGATAACTATCTTAAATATGTACGCACCAAACTCCAGAGCACCCAGTTATATAAAACAATTATTAACAGAAATGAAAACTCAAATTATCAGTAACACAGTTGTAACAGGAGACCTTAATACGCCATTGACACCAAGGGACAGATCAACCAGACAGAAAATGAGCAAAGAAATAACAAAACTGAATCACACCTGTGAACAAATGGGTTTGATAGACATATACAGAATGTTCCACCCAACAACATCAGAATACACATTCTTCTCAGCAGTACATGCATCATTTTCTAAAATAGAACATATATTAGCTCACAGAACATATTTAAGCAAATGCAAAAGAGTTGAAATCATCCCTTGCATGTTATCGGATCATAGCGCTCTGAAATTAGAAATTAATGATAAAAGATACTGCAAAAATTCTGCAAACACATGGAAACTGAATAACACACTCTTGAGCAATCAGTGGGTCACAGAAGAAATTAAAGAAGAAATTAAACAATACCTAAAAGAAAATGAAAATGCAGAAACAACTTACTGGAATCTGTGGGATGCAATGAAAGCCGTTTTGAGAGGAAAATTTATTGCACTGAGTTCCCACATCAGGAAAACAGAACGAATATAAATAAATAACTTGATGCTACACCTAAAACAGCTAGAAAAAGAAGAGCAAGTCAAGCCCAAAGCCAAAAGAAGAGAGGAAATTATAAAAATCAGAGCAGAAATCAATGCAATAGAGACTAAGAAAACAATCCAAAGAATCAACGAATCAAAGAGTTGGTTCTTTGAAAGAATAAATAAAATTGACAAGCCCCTAGCCAACCTTATTAAAAAAGGGAAGAAAAACCTCAAATTCATGCAATAAGAAATGAAAAAGGAGAAATCACTACAGACCCAATAGAAATACAGAGGATCATCAACACC